ATGCAAGATCGCTTTGGCATGAAAGCATCGTATTAGCAGATATCTCAGAAAATAGATATATTTTACATCAGTTGGAAATTACAGCAGAGTTTCTGAAGAATGAGGACAGGCGTCTTTGCCTCTTTGTCTGTAACTCTAGGCCTACTGCTAATGAGAGAGTGAACATGTCTACACCAAGCTGATTATTGCACAAGCCTATAATCTGCGAACATCTGCAGCTTGACTAGTCTGCCGCCACCGGTCGCCACAGTTAGGGAGAAAATCTGCTAACAGCAGATTTTGTCCACTTTCCCTAAGAAGACTTTAGACCCAAACATGATGGTGATGTAAGTCAAGACAGAGATAAGAGCAAAGCAACACATCTTGATAAGATCTATCTAAAAAAAGAAGAAGCGACACTCTATCCTTACACCATTTCGTTTGCATATATATCTTTTTCTTCTTTTTTTTTTTAGCAGCAGGCCTATCTTATCTAATAAATAACTTCGGAAAGGCAGCGTAAAAAAGTTTATAAGCAAAACATAAACTTTTATCTAAGTATCCTATCTTTACATATTGCTGAACTATTAGCCGAATGTGTAATAGTTTGACAAAGATAGACAGGCTTATATGGAGCTTGTCTAAAGGGTATCTTTCTTCATGTAAACCATAAACATGAATTAGAATAGCAGAATTACTCTTATTCATTTCATGTGATTCAATTTGAATCTTGAATATATATTTGTGTGTACTTTGGAAATAAGTTTAAAACTGTCATGCATCCATCCATCCATCCATCCATCCATCCATCCATCCATCCATCCATCCATCTCTGGTTATCTAGATCTACCTATAAATCTTTCATTCCTACAGTACATACATACATACACACATTCACTACCGTTCAAAAGTTTGGGGTTGACAAATAAGGACATTGAATGTCCTTATTTTTGAAGGAAAAGCACTGTACTTTTCAATGAAGATAACTTTAAACTAGTCCTAACTTTAAAGAAATACACTCTATACATTGCTAATGTGGTTTATGACTATTCTAGCTGCAAATGTCTGGTTTTTGATGCAATATCTACATAGGTGTATAGAGGCCCATTTCCGGCAACTATCACTCCAGTGTTCTAATGGTACAATGTGTTTGCTCATTGGCTCAGAAGGCTAACTGATGATTAGAAAACCCTTGTGCAATTATGTTCACACATCTGAAAACAGTTTAGCTCATTACAGAAGCTACAAAACTGACCTTCCTTTGAGCAGACTGAGTTTCTGGAGCATCACATTTGTGAGATCAATTAAATGCTCAAAATGGCCAGAAAAAGAGAACTTTCATCTGAAACAGGCTCTAACCAGAGTAGAAAAAGAAGTGGGAGGCCGCGTTGCACAACTGAGCAAGAAGATAAGTACATTAGAGTCTCTAGTTTGAGAAACAGACGCCTCACAGGTCCCCAACTGGCATCTTCATTAAATAGTACCCGCAGAAGCTTGTTTGTGCTGTCCTCTGAAGAGAGTAGTACACACCTTTGTAGGAAATCTTCAATTACTTAGCAATTTCTCGCATGGAATAGCCTTCATTTCTAAGAACAGGAATAGACTGTCTATACATCTATGTAGATATTGCACCAAAAACCAGACATTTGCAGCTAGAATAGTCATTTACCACATTAGCAATGTATAAAGTGTATTTCTTTAAAGTTAAGACTAGTTTAAAGTTATCTTCATTGAAAAGTACAGTGCTTTTCCTTCAAAAATAAGGACATTCAATGTGACCCCAAACTATACATACATACATACATACATACATACATACATACATACATACATACATACATACATACATACATACATACATACATACATACATACATACATACATACATACATACATACATACATACATACATACATACATACATACATACATACATACATACATACATACATACATACATACATACATACATACATACATACATACATACATACATACATACATACATACATACATACATACATACATACATACATACATACATACATACATACATACATACATACATACATACATACATACATACATACATACATACATACATACATACATACATACATACATACATACATACATACATACATACATACATACATACATACATACATACATACATACATACATACATACATACATACATACATACATACATACATACATACATACATACATACATACATACATACATACATACATACATACATACATACATACATACATACATACATACATACATACATACATACATACATACATACATACATACATACATACATACATACATACATACATACATACATACATACATACATACATACATACATACATACATACATACATACATACATACATACATACATACATACATACATACATACATACATACATACATACATACATACATACATACATACATACATACATACATACATACATACATACATACATACATACATACATACATACATACATACATACATACATACATACATACATACATACATACATACATACATACATACATACATACATACATACATACATACATACATACATACATACATACATACATACATACATACATACATACATACATACATACATACATACATACATACATACATACATACATACATACATACATACATACATACATACATACATACATACATACATACATGTACAGATACAGTAATATAACTTATCAGAGATAGTTTTTTTTACATTACATAGTGATGTTTCAATAGTATATTTCCCAATCAAACTGAATCAATTTTATTTTATATTTTGTAAATGGACAAATGTTAAATCATTGACGATATTGACTGTATGCAGTATTGACCGGTTTACACATTTATGAAAAAAATATGGTTTCATTTTTATAAACTATATATTTTTTTCCAAACAACTTTATAGTTATAACCTAAGCTATCTTGAAAATATCTTTCCCTGGATGGGAGCTTGGTTACTTAAACAACAACAACAAATAAAATAGGATTTGTCAGGTCAGTCATTAGTAATGCACATATAAAAAATGACTGATAAAAAAAGATTTCTGAGTTCCCCTGCGATGGACTGGCGACCTGTCCAGGGTGTATCTCGCCTCTCGCCTGTAGACAGCTGGAGATAGGCACCAGCATCCCTTGCGACCTCACTTGGGATAAGCATGACAGAAAACGGATGAACGGATGAATGGAGGATTTCTGTGTTCCCTTTGCCACATGATATCTGTGGGGCAGAGCAAAAAAGTTTCATGCAAAACACTTTTTGCAGTGGAAAATTAAAAACGCAGAAACCCCAAAGGGATACATGGTGGTGGTACCATCATGCTTTGGGGATGCTTTCCTCAGCCAAGTAAGGAAAGCTGTTCAGAGGTCAGAGAGAATTTAGTTGTTTTTTTTTTTTTTGAGGTTTTTGCTGCACTAGTGGCTCATTGTTTGTAAAGTAGTCTGACAGGAAAAGGGTACAAGAGAGAGGGAGAAACATGTGCGCTAAACACTGAGTCACAAAAGCACGCCCAAAGAGAACCTTTTCAGGGCTAGAAATGACCTGATACTTGGAGGAACTCTGACCTTCCTGTAGGAAACCATCCCTGAGATGATGAGTGGTCCTTATGGTTTCCATTAAAGCACATTCATTTAGTATGGCCTTTTAAACATGCAAATGCGAGTTTAACTGAAAACATCTTAAAGTCATGTTGAATGTTTGTCTGCAGCACATTAAAAAACAAGCACAGTTGACAAGGTGCTTTACATAATACAAGCTTGAAAAGTAAAAAAATCCATTAACAGACATTCCCCATCCAATTTGATTGAGCTTCGACTGCACTACGATGTAGAAAGTATTGAATTCAGATTTTTCCAATCATTTCTACAGTTCTATAGTCCAGCAGCTTGGAATAAAGACTTCTTCTGCATCAGGCAAGAAAAGCACGATGCCACTGGACTCCAAAACACTGGAGATGAATCATGTTTGGCTGTCCAATGGACCAGGAGCATGTGTGCCTGACTGCATCAAATTTAAAGTGTGGTGAAGGAGGGGGGTTATGGTATAGTACTGTTGCTGGGCAGGGCACCTTAGTTCTGGTAAAGGAAATCTTAATGCTGCAACATACTGAGACATTTTGGACAGTTTGTGTAAAGAAATCCAGGATGTTTCCTGCCTGTTCCAACATGACAGCCCATTAGTGTAAGCAAAGCAAGGACCATAAACACAAGGATGGGCAGGTTTGGAGTGCCCTGCACTGAGGTTTGACCTCCAAATAGAACACCTTGGAGATGAATTAGAGCAAAGACTGACCTCACTCTGGCTCGACTAAAAGAATGGTCAAAATTCATATAAACACTCTAAAAAAACCTTGGGTAAATCCATCTGCGAATATTTGGAGCTGTTATAGCTGCCAAGGGTGGGTCGACTTCATATTAAACCCTGTATTTAGAATGGGATTTCACTCAGGCTCATATGTGAGTGAAGGCAGATGAGCCAATATTTTTGGCAAGCTTATTTTGCAAAGCGCATCGAGCCAAACTTCTTATGGAGGAAGGTTTTTGCTTTCGGTAAAAAAAAGGTCACAGTAAAAGAAAAAGGTAAAAACAAACAAGTTCCAGACTTTTATTTGCAAAATATTTTCCACTTCCGACTTTTACTTTGCAGAGGATCCAAATAAAATATACAGAAGTTTGTGGAAAGTTGACGGCTGTGAAAACTTTCTGCAAAATGCAGTTTTTTTATAGTCCTTTTTAAGATCTGAAATTTGGCAAAACCGGACGACCCAACACAAACATCTGCTCTGCCACACATCCCACTGTAAATCCTGTAAAGTTGTGACATTTGCAGCATTTCTTTTCCATGAAACAGAAGCTCATTGTTGTTCTGGTTCCACATCCTGAGCTGATGAAATCAGCAGCTGTAAGCTGCGTGTTCCTGTGACTGCTAAGGCTGTGCCATGCTGGCAGCTCAAGTGAAGCAAATCCAGTCTGTTCCAATTATGAATCAGAGCACTTTACTCCACTTAAGTGCATTACGCCCTAATCAGTGCATGGTTGTACTTGTTAGTGCATGACCGCTCATATTCATGCAAAGGTAAGAGCTTCTGGTAAATTAAGTCTAATTTCTCTATTAAAGGAATTTTCTTATTCACGAGGAAAGTGGTGTTTACGCTTAAAAAGAGTACATGTGTCTGTTTTCTTCCCTATTTAACCTACTCAGAGGCATTTATGCATTCGAATGCATGTTGCTCCACTACAGCATAATGCCTGCTTTTCTTCATAAACTAAAGTTTCTCTAAAAGTCTGCTGCATCAAGCCCAGAGCTGTTAGAGGCAGATCCAAGTTTAGAGACGTGAAAACTGGAACATTTTGTCCAGGAATTAAACTTTTTTTTTAGTTGGATCAAGTTTTGGAGAGTTTGGACGGCTAGTGAGCACCTTGACCTTGTTCCTGTGTTGCTAAACCATTTTTTTTTTTTTTTTCAGTTCTGGCAGGAGGCGTACAGCTGATGGAAGTGAGGAAATGACCATAAAAGGATTTGCTTCAGCAGCTCTGGGTAGGTGGTATTTCATCGCTGTGAAATCCACGTAAATGACAGAAGCCAGAGTTTTTACAGCAGATTATTGTTCACTTCATCACATGCTGCATTTTCTCCAAAGCACAACCCCAACATGCTCAGTATGTATGGAAACCCACATCACGCTTTGCTCCCAGTAAGTGATTGTAGTTGAGGATGCAGGTCATTTTGGAAAACCTCATTGCAGCATTATTGTTGAAGCACATTCTGCAAAACTGCAGTTTCAGCTACATAAGCTCTTCTATGATAAAGCTTCATATGTGCATCAGCTATTCACACACTTCCTTTACACCAGTTCACTGGGGAATTTGTTCCATGCTCTCCAGTCTTAAGGCATGTCTTTTTTTGTGCCTTTTTTTAAAGCTGCCCTTATAGAGTTGTCCATCCATTCATTTAAAACTAATTGGTACTTGGCAACGTTCCTCACATTCTTTAGAAAGACTCAGAGGTTCAGCCACAAAGATTTACCTGTCTATTATCTAGCAATCAGATAACAGATTTGTCACCTAATGGGTGTAGGTGAGGTGGAGCTGCAGATGGAGGGAATCTAAAAAAGACCTCTTACATTTAAAATTTCAGTAAACAACTAATACAGAAGCTCTGGCAATAAGTCAAAACAACACAGTTTGTGATACTGGATTCATAAGATGAAACCATTTTATATATCATATATATTTAATATAATAATCCCCAACAATAATAATAATGTTTCCTTAAACAAAGTCCTCTACAGTGTGGAATAATTCAGTTTGGATTATAATGATCAAATATAGTGGAAAACATCTTCACCCTGAAACATGGCAGTGGCAGTATCATGCTCAGTGAAAAGTAGTTATACTAATGCAAGGCTCAATTTTTAGGTTATTTTGTAATCCATAAATCTCCTTGTATTGTACTTCTGAATTGAGCTTTATTTGTAATAGGGGAGTGGCAGCCTAGTGGTTAAGGCATAGGGCTTTGAATCCAGAGGTTGTGAGCTTGATCTCACACAGACTGCCACTCTGGGTCCCTGAGCAAGACCCTTAACCCTCACACTGCTCCCCGGGCACTGCACAATGGCAGCCCACTGTTACCGAAGGGGATGGGTTAAATGCAGAGAATTCATTTCGTTGCTCTGTTCTTGTGACAGTGGAATGATAATAAAGTAAATTCTATTTATGTTGGTCCAGCACATAGAATCCCAATACACGCACCAGTGTTTTGAGCTGTAACATCATTAAAAAATGCTTAAATGATTATGTGGCTTGATGGTTGCATGTTAAGCTGCATTTACTAGAACACTTTTTTTCCATTGACTGTAAGGGCGCATTCACCGGTCAAGGGATTCGGTCAGTTGACACAGTTTGCTCTCACATAGATATTTACGCCAACATGCAGTTGCAACAGATTACTTTGAGGCGATCACTCCAGGTTTTCATTGATCAGGCAGAATAAATAGAATGAAGAAGAAAGTCTATCGTTACCTTCGTGATAAAATTCAGACATTAGATTTAGTTTCTTTAGATTTGTGCTTTTGCTTTGTTTTTCCACTTCTTTTTCTACTCAATTTCATGGGTCTAATGTCACATCCTCTCTTCCTGCTTTTGGTACACCGGTCCAGGGTGCATTCACGCTGCATGGGAACCACTTCAGGGTCCGGAAGAACCATTCTGAGACCGGAACAAGTTCCCCTTCCAGGATCCTGCTTTCTGACCTGGTACTGTTGAAAGCATTATAAAGCTTAGTGTGAAAGCATTTTAAATCACAAATGGCTCTCAGACATATTCTATATTTGCTCATTCTAGTCCAAAATACCTGATACTAGTTGTGCGGTCATATTTCTTTTATAGCCACAGGAAATAACAGTAAATTTCGCTGAAGGACCTCAGATAACCTGACAGCAACCCCTGAAAATTTTGCCTGTTGTGCCACATCACCACTGCAGGCTAGTTGGGGGCAAAATGCCAACAATAAGTTTTCAGGTACAATTTGGATAACCAAGATAGATTTTTTCATTATAGTTGGAGAACCTTAAAGATAGGCAGATTTTTTTTTTTTTAAATCAAAAATTAAATATAAAGAGAACATGGTTACTAACAATAAAATGTTCAATACTTGAAACTATAAAAAAAGGGTTTAATGCAAAATTAATCACATCTTTCACAAATTTCAAATATTATACAGGAATATGGCTTTTTATTATATATTTGGTGAGGAGTCCAGCTTTCCAGTGACGGCAGAGCTGATCTCAGATTCTTTGCTTATAATTATTCACCTGTTCTTTGGGAACTAGCCCCAGATTTTCTTTGACAAGCACTTGACTTAAAAGTTATGATCTTTCAGCCACCTTGTCACCTTGTGACACTCTGCTCTATTGTGCTGAAAAATCCGTAGATCATTACTAAACGATTCCCACTGGAAGAAGTTTCTTGAATTTCTCTTTTTGGTATCATTGGGCAGATCTGGAAGGAAGCTTATTGCTTTAAGGAGAAGAAATTCAACACATGGTTTGAATCAGGATGCTTCACTACTAAGCATAACAAAAGAGTTCTGGTAGCTCTCACTGTAACAAGTGAGTCCCCAGATGTCCCAAAAAATACAACAGAGCATCCATCAGGGAATGACGCTGTGCAAAAGTGTTTTGCCATTCACTTAGATGTTGTTTGGGGATTTTTGACCAAAGAGGCACCTTTACTTCCACTTTTGTCACAAGCTTATTGTGTAGACGTCCTTACCTGACACTGCATATTTCCCCATTCCACTCTGCTGCCTGGTCAGAGCGAGTTATAGTCACGCTGGAAATTCTTGGATGGCATGAAATTTATTTTTTCTGCAAAAGAAATTCACAATTTGACGTTAACTATGATGAAGCAGACATTTATACCAGTGTTTGTGGATCTAAGCAGGAATATCTTTCATCCACTTTCTAATAAAAACTAAAAAGTGAAGGTAGATGATGCTATTTTTATTTTATTTATGAAGATGAAACATGACCAGCACAAAAAGACCTGGATTCAAAGTCTATCCAGCTCTCTCTTTAGTAGCTCGGTTGCTAATCAGGAACATTTTTAATGAATAGTCCTCTGATTCTATAAATGTGTCACGTCCTGTCCAATTGCGTAATGACACAACAATAAGCAACATTATTTTGGTGGCCCCACATGAAGTACAACACCCCATCCAGCCCAACCGTCTAATGAACTATACAGTTATTAACATAGTAATTAAAAGTACCAACGTCTGCTTTGCTATTGGTGTCGTGTTTAAACCGTCATGTTGAAATCTGCCATGCGTTGTGGTATAAATACGGTCCGATCAGTCAACCCAGTATCAGGTGGGTTTAGGAGGAATTTTTCAAACCACTACATCTGCAAAGAGACGTCCCAGTCGACATTAGCATAAGGGGCCACCCAGGTGTCAATGATGGGGCCCCTAAGCAACAGCAGTCTCTGCTTACCAATAGTTACGCCATTGGTCCTGTCATCTTTTTTTTTTTTTTTACAGTGTCCTGTCTGGCAATGTGGCAATAAGAATAATTGTCTTGATGCCAAAAAGAGCCCAACAGATTTTACTTTCACAAGTGGAGCAGTAGGGCAATTGCCATATTGCTCCACTTGTTTCATGCATATAAATTGCTTTATTATAATTATGCAGGGAGTTTTACAGTTTATATGGACACTGCAATGTAAATAGAGCAGAAAAACAGAAGAAGAAAAGGAAAAAAGAAAGAAAAAAAGAGAAAAGATGAAAGAAAGAAGAGATAGAAAGGAGACAATGACAAAACATTTTCAGTCTGCTTCATCACCTGCAACAAGATGTAAAAAGAACAGCACAACCAAAAGACACGGTACGAGACATACAATAAAGCAACACCTTGAAACTATCGCTAAAGTAATATTATTAAGTCTGACATGTACTCTGTGTTACCTGACATCTAATCACCAAAATATACTGAAAACAAGCCTTTTAAAATCAAACATTTGCTTTGCAGAGAATCATTCTGCTTCTGATCTATCTGCATGGTATTGTGAAAGAAAAGGACGCTGAAAAACAAACAAAAGTTCCTTTTAAAACGTCATTGCATCAGTTGGAGAACATGTATGTAAATCCAGCAAAGTGTATGATATTTGACCATAAAAACTGCAAAGGTAACAATTTCAAAGTTTCAAGAACACCTCTGGAAACCTCTCAAACCAAAGGGTCATTTTCTGATGCTCTACTTATTCAGGACAACCTCAACCCTGCACTTATGTTAATCCATCCGTTGCAGTACCATGCAGCTGGTGCCTCTGGAACAGGCCTGAACTAAAGCAGATTTCCACTGATCTACAAACCCGGATGGCATATACAGAGTCTGAGCCGGGGGGGCCTCTTACGCAAGTTCAGCCAGCTGTGGCTGCCTGGGCTGTGCGTGCAGGGAATGTGTTTACATAACGCCCATTTGGGCTTTTTCACCTCACATAGCAGGTCCTAAATAAACTCGAAAGCAAGCAGGCTGAATCCTTTTTTATTTATGGTGCTTTTTTCACACAAAAAAAACAACAAACAAACAAAAATAAAAAGTCCTGACAATGAATGAAGCAGGTTATAGAAAACTGATTTCTTTCACCATATATTTGAAAACTGAATTTTTTGCATCAAATAATTGAGCTTTTGAAAATACTCCCTAGATATACAATAGGAAATGATTTAGCTGCAATTTTCTCCCTTGTTAAACTGTGCATGTTTGCCATTAAGCATATTTTTTTCCTCCCTTGGTTATCTTTAGATGAATGATGAACAAAACATATGCAAGGCAGCACTTTATTGTGGGGTTCAAAGTCTAGTTGGAGCTACTGTTGGAACAGAACAGTCGCTGTGTTCCATCCAGACTTTTTATTGCACAAACATTTAACTGGCCAGCCAAGTAAGATGACACAAAAACGGCGCCTACCGTTTACTCCTGCATGTCCCGCCATTTGGGAATTTTACTAGAGGCAGAGGATGTATGAAACTGTCACTTTAAAGGACTGAAACTTTCAAATGTAGTTTGGATAAAATACTTCTTTTTGACATTTGATTCACTTATAATTATAAAATTAAGTTTGGGGCTTTATGTGACTGAGCCTAAACAAACTAAGAATGATAAACACAGTAGTTCTTAAAATAAATTATCGAGAAACAATTGTGCAACATGTATATTTGTTCAGATTCCTGTTAATCTGACCAATCCAATAAAATCCAGTGCCGCTAACTGCCTTTGTATATCATTACAGGGTCCACTTGTGTGTTTTTTTTTTTACCTCAGGTTGAGCTATTCTTCATTAGGAAGAGGGGGAGGGAGAGATTTCAAGCAGCGTTGGGTTATAGCAGCAATAGCTTAAACTTTGAATATCTCTCAGGGCAATTATTAAATAGTTATCTGAAAATTAAGAGTCCAGAGCAGTTGCAAACTGACTAACATAACAGTTAGTTTCTGAGCGGTGATCAGAGAATCCAGGAGAAGTCTGGAGGAGCTGCAGGGATCCACAGCTCAGATGGTAGAATCTATTGATGCAATTAGCGATGCACTCCACAAATCTGGACATTATGGAGGAATTGGACAAAGGCTATTCATCCAACATGATCTGGCTTTGCAAAAAAATAAATGCTTAAGACATAAACAGAAACACCAAAACACTTGGGTATCTGGTCTGCAAAATATGTGCTCTATCTCTTCTTCCACTTAGTGTTATCAAATCAAATGAATTGATGACCCAATGAAATACTGGTTTATGGTTGTAACGTCACAAAAAGCTAATTAAGTTCCCAACAAAGAGCACCTTTGTAGTTTTGCTATGTAATAGTCTTTGTTGGTCCGCTGCTGCAGATAGATCAAAGTAACAGTTTCTCTAAGTAATGCAGCTTTCATGCATCTCTCAGAGCTCTGAGGTCTGTCCTGTTTTTTTTTTCCCTCAGGCAGGGAACCATGGCCTGATCTGCGCTAAGCCCTGGACTCTAAATCCCTCTCAGACGCTCAGTAATGCGCTCGGTGTGGGACCACACTGAGGTCATGTCACTCATCTGAGCCCAGACCACAGCTTGGTGTCTGACGGAGGGATCTTCTCCTACCCCCCCCTAATCATCCTCTTTCATTTCTTCCCTACCACTGACTCTCAGCTCGGGTCACTATCTAACCTTCCGCACTCATCCTCTCTGCTGCCAGGCGAGAGATTATCGATCAGCTGTTGGTAGAGTTGTCTTTTTCCAGCTTTTAATTAGGATTGAAGGAGCTTCAGCAGGACGACTAAATCTGTACATTTCATTTCATGTTGTCCCTGAGCATTTTCCCATCCATACATACAAAGTCACTTTTATTGAGGATGTGCAAATGTGAAATAACAATTTAAGAAATATGTTTCATAGCCACATTGGGAGGACCATACATTTTTACTTTTTAATGAAAACTAATATAACCAAGGAACATGCAAAAAGCATTCTTTAAACAATGTTTGTTTTATTAATAACAAAAATCTATCCAAAATAAACCTGTAACTATGTGAATAAATACATAAATACGCCCTCAGTTATTTTTCCAGTCCTGAAAACAAATGTCTTCATTTGTTAAAAATGTATTAAAGAAATTAAGTTAAAGACTTGCAGGTGTGATTTGGATCCCTGTTTGCATCGCAGTCCAGGTGTGTTGAAGAAACATCAGACCAGCACTCTATTAACACCAGGCCTAAATGTCAGTAGGATTTTCTGCTTCCTAAATGCCTTTTTAGGTCATTGAAGTCAGACCTATACCTCCTAGAAAGGTTAATTTTTGTCTCATCAGTCAAAAAAAATTTTTTTCCTAAACCCTTTTCAGTAATTTAACCTTCATGCAACGACTGTCTCCAGTCAAAGGCTTCTGTAGATCCGCTGTTAGACAACTACAACTCATCAAGGAAGCCCCTCTTAACATAAGTTACAGAAGTGTTTAATTTTCCTTTAAGTGAAGTATTTTTCAATAGCTTTAAATCCTCTGGGTGTACTGTGGGTCTTTGGAGTCCATTTTTGCCTGGTCTCTTTTTTACAGTTCAATCGTGAACTTTGACCTTAAAGGTATAGAGGTATTAGGTTCCCCTAATTGTCAATCATTCTGGTGATATGTTTACGTAATGCCGTCCTACGTGCTCGTCCCCAGTTAGCCATCTTTTTCTGCACATGCGCAGTTTCAGCCGCATATGTGTGTAGAGCTATGGTTTCAGACAGTGATTGAAGGTCACCTTTTTTACCACGGTTCTCTGAAAATGGCCAAAGGTTGTAACAGAAAAAGTGTCCATTAAGTGTATGAGGAGAAAAGAAAGGCCTCAGAAGAGGCAGGTATATCCCAGAATGCTTTGCACTGAAAGCATTGTGCAAAAATCAGTGATCTGTCCAAATAGTCAGTTAGCTGAGTTGCTATAAAGTCCCTGTTGTATGTGGACACAATAAGCTTGTATGAGCTATGAGAACAGCACATTTTAAACAGTGCATGCATGAGGAGAAAGGGGCTCGTACATGCACAAACGGAGATACCGGGTCTTTTAAAAAAATCCTCCAAGACCTTTAATTGAAGTAAATTAGTTCAGCAAAGCTTTAGCAATGCTTTTTTGTTGTTGCATGAATTGTTGATTTGCTATATGCAGAAAACAGCTGACTGTGGTTAATAAAAGACCAGTTCACATCTGATCTTAAGATAAGGGATGATTTGTTCTTTTTTTAAATATTAACACCTATCTCATACACGTAGACAAGTTCTATATGAGTAATTTCTTTATAATTCTAGATGTCAGAAGACAAATGCCTTTGCTCTTGAAAAGAAAAAGGGAAGAAATATGAGCTGTATGTTCTGCTCCTTGTCCTTGTCTTATCTTATTTTAACAGTGTGCCTTTGTATAGCTGTATTTTACTGCTTGGGGGGTCGTCTATGAGGCGATTGATGGACAATTAAAGTAAAATTCCCTGTTTGTGCCCAAAATAAAATGGCCAAAAAAGCTGATTCTGATTGTAGTGAAACTAAATCCAGCTTTAAAACTAAAATATATAATCAATCAAAACCGATAAATGAACAAGAGTTTTTTTTTGCATCATTTTTTTTCTTTCCTTGATAAATGAAATAATTAATTGAAAACTCTGTAATGGACTGGCAGCCTGTCGCTGTCCGTCTCTCACCCAATGATTACTGGAGACAGGCAGCAGCCCCTGGCTATTCTCTGTCAGTAAAATTTGTTCAATCAAATGAAAAATGTGCAACAGAGAAGCAAAACTAAATAAAGTCTGAAAGCGAGGAAGAATTTTTTTTACAGCTTTATAAAATGCCAAGCACATAAAACTAGCAATCGATTATGTGCTTTGATAAGAAATTATTAAAAATTACTTTAATGCTGGTAATATGACCTCAATAAATAAACCGATATCAGCAGAGTCCGTTAGCTGCTTCCACGTCTCACGTCTTGTTAGAACAGACCTTGGCTTGGAAGTCCCAGCTCAGTCCTGAGCTGCTTGAGGTTTCTCAGAGGGATCTTCAGGGTTTGGCTCAGAGGGTCGGCTCGGCAGGTTAGCTCTTCCAGAGCTTGCTCAGAGGAGGCACAGGTTTCCTGGAAGACAGAGATAATAGTTAGAATCCAGACTGGATTCAAAGTCATGGAGATACTCAGAGGATCTAGGCTTTAGCGCTGACCAACTGGAACAACACTGCGGCGTTGAGGCAAGGTCTGAAGACAGCATAAGTAGTGGATCCTCTGATGATCTTGACGAGCTGCAGCTGTGCAGGGAGCTCCCTCAGAGGATCCACGGCGGACTCTACTGGAGAAAGATGGGATTTCTCCAGCTCCCAACAGTACCCCCCCCCCTCAACGACCGCCCCTTGGCGGTCCGGAAGAGGTAGATGGGCGGGAACGCTCGAACTCCTCGATGAGTGCAGGATCGAGGATGTACGAGCCTGGGACCCACTGGCGATCATCCGGTCCGTAGCCCTCCCAGTCGACGAGGTACTGCCATCCGCGACCTCGTCGACGGGAGTCCACGTTGCGGCGCACTGTGAAGGCCGGATGGCCATCGACCTCCAGGGCGGGTGGTGGGGAGTCGGACGGTGGGCACAAAGAGCTCGAAGAAACAGGCTTGATCTGGGACACGTGGAATGTAGGGTGGATTCGGAGGGACTGAGGTAGTTGGAGACGAACAGCTGAGGGGTTGATGACTCGAGTGATCTTATAGGGTCCGATGAATCTTGGGGAGAGTTTTCGAGACATCCCCTTGAGGGGGATGTCTCGAGTGGAGAGCCATACCTCCTGGCCCTCAGAGTACTCGGGGGCGGGACGTCTCCTGGCGTCAGCGAAGCGTTTAACAGACACTGATGACTGGTTGAGTGTGGCGATGGTCTCCCTCCAAATCCTCTGGCAACGGCGGATGTGTTGATTGACGGACAGCACCGATATCTCTCTCTCATCTGCGGGAAAAAGAGGTGGTTGATACCCGAGACTGACCTGGAATGGAGATTGTCCAGTGGATGCAGATCTGAGGGAGTTATGGGCATATTCAATCCATGGGAGAAATTGGCTCCAATCCACGGGGTTGTTCGAAGTGAGGCAGCGAAGGGTGGATTCCAACTGTTGGTTCATGCGCGCGGTCTGACCATTCGATTGGGGGTGGTAACCTGAGGTGAGAGAGGGTTTGCAGCCGAGCGCAGAGCAGAATGCCTTCCATACCTGGGAGATGAATTGAGGACCTCTGTCCGAGAGGATCTCTTGGGGGATGCCGTGAAGCCGGAAAACATGTTTAATGAGGAGCTGAGCTGTCTGGAAGGCCGTGGGAAGCTTTCTGAGGGGAACAAGGTGGCAGGACTTCGAGAAGCGGTCAACAATGGTGAGTATAGTGGACATACCTCGAGAGACAGGGAGACCGTTGACAAAATCAATGGCGATATGGGACCAGGGACGCGAGGGAACAGGAAGTGGTTGAAGCAGGCCAGAAGGAGGTTGGTGTGAGGCTTTGTTACGGGCACATGTGGGGCAAGCCAACACATACTCCTTTACGTCCTTGTGGAGAGAGGGCCACCAGAAACGTCTGGAGATAAGAGCTACTGTTCTACTGACTCCAGGATGAGCAGAGAATTTGGCGGCATGCATCCACTGGATAAGACGGGACCTGACAGAAGATGGAACATATGTACGGTTAGATGGACCGTTACCTGGATCGGGTTCAGTGGCCAGGGCTGAGTTGATGAGGTCAGTTATCTCCCAGTTGACCACTCCCACTGTACATGAAGCTGGAAGGAAAGGTTCAGGTGTCTCGGGATGATCGACGGAGTAGAGACGAGAGAGAGAATCGGGCTTCACGTTCTTGGATCCGGGTCTGTAGGAGATAATTAGGTTGAACCGAGAAAAGAAGATTGACCACCTGGATTGGCGAGGATTAGCCTGTTTGGTGGACTGGATGTAAGCCAGGTTCTTGTGGTCTGTCCATACAAGAACCGGGTGCTCAGCTCCCTCCAGCCAGTGCCTCCATTCTTCCAACGCCAGTTTGATAGCCAGGAGCTCTCGGTCACCCACATCATAATTTTGTTCAGCGGAAGAAAGTCTACGGGAGAAGAAAGCACAAGGGTGTATCTTTTGGTCTGAATCGAGCCTCTGGGACAGGACAGCTCCTACACCAGAATCTGAAGCATCCACCTCTAGGATAAACTTTTTAGCAGGATCAGGTTGCATGAGGACAGGAGCTCTGGAAAACAAGGATTTTAGTTTCTCAAATGCTGCTTGAGCCTCGGGAGTCCACTGAAAAGTGCGTTTAACAGAAGTCAGGGAGGTTAATGGAAGGGCGGTCTGGCTGTAGTTTCTAATAAACCGACGATAGAAGTTAGCGAACCCTAGAAACCTCTGTAATTGTTTGCGGTTCTCTGGAACTGGCCAGTCTAAGACTGCTTTGATCTTGTCCTCTGAAGGTTTTACCTGGCCGCCCTCGAGCACAAACCCCAAAAAGGTGACTGAAGATTGATGAAATTCGCACTTCTCGGCTTTCACGAACAGCTTATTCTCCAGTAGTCTCTGTAAGACAAGACAGACATGTTTCTTGTGTTCATCGAGGTCCTTGGAGTAAATGAGAATGTCATCTATGTACACGAAAACAAACACGTTGAGAAAGTCTCTGAGAACATCATTTACTAGGGCCTGGAAGCAGGCTGGGGCGTTAGTTAGACCAAAGGGCATTACAAGGTATTCGAATTGGCCCAAGGGTGTTTTGAAGGCAGTTTTCCATTCATCGCCCTCACGGATCCTAAGGAGATGATAAGCGTTTCTTAAATCCAACTTAGAAAACACTGTTGCTCCCTGTACAGGTTCAAAAGCAGAGGCGAGAAGAGGCAGTGGGTATTTGTTTTTAATTGTAATCTGGTTCAAACCTCGATAGTCAATACAAGGTCTCAGGGAACCATCCTTCTTACCCACGAAGAAGAACCCGGTGCCCAATGGAGAGGATGATGGGCGAATTATTCCAGCAGCTAATGATTCATTGATGTATTTTTC